ATTACCTCTAAATAATTTTTTTAGTATTTATTTTGTAATATAAAAAAATGTGAGATGTAATGTGAGGTAATTTTTGTTACTCCTCATCCTCAGATCTGGAAAACAAACCCAATCTTATATAGTTATATTTCTATTTTTTAATATTTATTTCTGATTATCTTTTTGTTATTTTTATTAAAAATAGTGGGCCACACAAATCCAATTGCGTGGCCTAGCCCAAGTTGGATAACCCCATTAACCAACCTAAAGAATATAGTGATCGACTACTGCCACGTGGAACATTTTCCTCCTTTGGGGAAATTGCCTTCTCTAGAATCACTCACGGTGGCTGATGTGTCGAAAGTAAAAAAGGTGGGAGTTGAATTTTTGGGGATAGAAACGTCTTTGTCTCCATCTTTATCATCCGTTTTTGCCTTCCCCAATTTGAAGTCACTGACATTTGAGTGGATGGAAGAGTGGGAAGAGTGGGATTATGAAAGCAGAGGAGAAGAGGATATCACAATCATGCCACGTCTTTCTTCCTTGACAATTCGTTATTGTCGGAAGTTAAAGATGTTGCCGGATTATATTCTCCAGAGTACTACCCTACAGGAATTGAGTATTATTGGATGTCCAATTATTTCAAAATGCTGCAAAGAAGACTACCAGTCCTTTATCGACCGTATTCCTCACTCCGACGTGTGAGATTGAGACTCGAAAGTCGGACTCAGACTTTGAGTAACTCGCAAAAAAGAAAGGTACTACTACTGTCTAATTTTGCTTTGCTCAGTGTCCTTACCCTATTTGATTTTGTTTGTTGGTAAGCAATGGGGCAAAAACCCGTTAATTACCCATACACATTCAAATAATAATATCAAACCAAACAAATTACTAGTAAATGTAGAAGTTGATCTTTTTGCATTCTTTTCCTTTCTTTCAAAAAAATTGCCATTTTATAGTACAAGATGCATTATGGCTGAATTTTACTCTTTTTTTTATTTTTAAAATTTCAATTTTTAAGGTATTTATATTTCAATTGATATAACATTCTGTTTAGTGATTTATGTAATTTGAGGTAATTGTTGTTGCTCTTTTTTCTTTCCCACACCATGGAAGCAATTTCATTTTCTGTTTTTCTTTTTTCTAGTTAATTATTCTTTCTGATTCCCATTTTCTTCCCTTCTTTTCACTTTTAGGAGACCCGAAGTGGATAGTTTCAGAAGTTGTGTACATGGTGGAAGGATGATGGACCGGCCTGGCTCATGGCGCCCACACTAGCTTCTATGTGTCTACTTTTTGGCAAAGCAGTTAGCTTCTGAGTTTTTATTTTCTTAATTGAAGGGTTATTTTTGGGCCGTTTGTGTGCTTTAAAAAAAAAAAAAAAAACTTTCAAGCTTTCTTAGGATTTTCTTATAACCCATTTTCCTATTAAAAAAAAAAAAAAGCCAACTAGGCTTTGACATGGGAATGGCTTGGCTTGTGTTACCCGCGCCACATGCCAACCCGGGCACTGGGCATTAACATGTGGGCTTTCGTTTTCTTTGTGTGTTTTTGCTATTTTCATGGGTCATTTAGGATCAAAAATGAAAAAAAAAAAATTTTGTTATCTTCCGTCTTTTTGTAATCTTTTTTTTTTTTAATGGCCTTGTAATGTTTGTTTTAACATAGTGAATTTTCATTTTGCCATTGAATGACCGTGGATGTTTCCCTTCTTTGGGGTTTTACCACGTTAAAAAAAATTGGTGTTCTCTTGTTTACTTTTAATCGTTGAATAGTTTAATTATATATAGTTGAATCTGACTTATATAATAACCAAAAGAGTTAGTATACTTTTTTAATATAAAATTAGAGTTAAAGAACCAAAAAATGTGTTTAAACCAAAACAAATGGCAGTAAATTTGACTTGTAATGATATTTGAGTTGAAACCTATGGGTCAAGAAAAAAAGAGCCAAACTCTATGGCTTACAGTGTTGTTCACTAACCCAGGTTTTTTAAAAATAAAATAAAATAAGAAGGGTTTAGTATACCATCTTATATCGGTTCTTCCCTTCCTTCTAAACTTTTTATACTCCCTCTCTTCCCACATTCCCTAGCAATTGTCGTGTACCTATTCTTCTCCTTCACTTCATCAAGTAGTTCGTCATTGCATAGGTAACTATTTTTCACTTAAGTTTATTGATTTTTTAAGTGATTAAAATCTTGTTTAAGGATATGATGAACATGAAAAGATTAAATTTTTAATCAAGTTATTTTCTTTCTACATAAAAATTGATTGTGTAGGAATTTATTTTTGTGCGGAATTTGATTTCTACCACAACAAAATACAATTTTTATGTGGAATTTAATTTTTTGAGGGTTTGAGGGAATTTTGGTACATACTTATACCAATTTCCTCTGTTTTCCATTCAAATTTTTTTTTTAATGGAGGTAATTTCTTAATTTTTGTCACTTTTTTCTCAACTAACTACTATTTTGATTTTTACACATAATGTTCTTCATGTGCAACCTTTTAACAATATATGCTTTATTTATAGAAATACAAATTGAAGTTAAATTTCTTGAAATTGAAAGAGATTGAATGGACAAACTTGAAAAGTTCAAAGAAGTTTCAAATCCCCGTTTAGCTACTCCATGTTGTGGTTGCATTTTTCCTTTTTAGAATTATAAGA